GTCTCCTCAGCAATGCAATTGTCTATACTCTGTTCCTTAAATGATGAAGGGTGGAAAAAAGGGGGAAAAAATTAAGATGGTAACAAAATGAGAGGAAGGCAAGACACCATTTCGTGTCCTGAGACAACTCTTACTTCTGCAGCAAGAGCAGGAAAAGTCCTCTATGTCATCAAGTCTGGACTGGAGAACTGAATGACAGCCACATCAGCTGGCAACCTGAGTAATACCCTCCTGAAGAAACAGCTTCCATGGTAAGTGAAGGACAAGATGTTCCGCTGACACAAGCATCCAGAGAATGCAGCAGTGGTTGGTTTTGGGTTTTGTTGTTTTGGTTTTTTTAACTGGTATTAAGTTTGACTTTAAGAATATATTACTAACTTTAAGATCACCAGTTTGTACAAAAACTCCTCATCTTTAGGGCATGTCAGACCCCAAACTCCTCACTGAATGTCAGCAAGTGAAGTTGAGAGAGGAAACCTCTAAGTAATCCCACTACCTTTGAAATAATGAGACGTGGCAAGAGGTGTGGTTGGAGAACCATCCATCAGGCCAGCCCACTCCACATGGTGCATTTAGATGAATGCCTGTGTCTGTAGCATTTCAATGCAACAGAGGTTACTCTTCAGCACAAGTCTCTTTGAGGGAAAAAAATATTAGGATTATTCTCAGAAAACCATATGCACCTTCTCTCAACAGGAACACTGCCTGCATACTGTCCTGCCACACAAACAGGGAGTATTCTCTACCAAGCACTGAACCAACCTGGATCACTGGGCACTGTAACTCCTGAGGCAAAGTGTGAACAAATCTCCAAGTGTCTGCTTAACACCCAAGATAAGACATTCTTTAAATGTAGCTACAAAAGTGGTTTAACTATGTTAGAAAAAACACCAAACAACACCCTTGCAGCTTCAAGACATGTCTGGATGCAGCTGGCTATTTACTAGAATAGTGACTACATGAAGGTAACTGCAGTTCTTTCAGGGGAAACAGATTGAGATTTTCTAAGGATCTGGACAGGTGAACACAATGAAACAGCCCCAACCCCAGATTTCATTTGCACACTTTCATGCCTAGGGTAAAAATTACCATGTGCACCAGATATAAATCAGGATTCAGTTGGCTATTGAGTCCAGAAGGATCAAAAGCTTAAGGTGATCTTGACGGTGAGGTAATAAAACTGAAGACAAGAGAGTTTAAAGGCTTTCCAAGATAAGTAAGGATGGATCAGACATTTACTAAGGTAGAACCACACAAAAGAAGGCATTGGGAAAAAGTGCAGAGATGGTCTTTGAAGAGGAGTAACTGAAAGCAAACCCCAAGGCTTGAAATAGCACCAATCTTACACCTGAGAATGCCCCCGAGAGGAGCACTCCTGGCTGTCGAGAAGAAAAGCAGCTGGATCCAGAGACCTGGGAAGCTGTCATGCAAGTACTATTACTTTAGAGCTGATCCAGCCCCCTACTCTAAAGGCCACAAAAGGTAAAAACCCAGGAAACTAGATCAACTGGAAGTAGGGAGGGATAGGTGAAGATGCTAACCAGACAGACCTTCATGAAGCAATGGGAAAGACTTCTCTCCAGGATGTACATAGAGACAATTACAGTGAAGGCAGTGGGAGACAGGAGAGTGACAGGCACACCAGAACTGTCCACCCATCTAAGCATAAGTCAAGGGATGTTTTCTTTCTCACTAGCTAGCCTGAACCACTCTTACTGTAGGAAAGAGCAAGCATTTTGAGTACTTTCAGCTCTACTAAAGATCAGGGTCAATCAGGTCCTGAGAAGTCTGGGATGAGATGTCTCAAGCCTTTCATGACCTGCCAAAGGAGTTTCGGAAACCACCTCCAGTGCGGTTAAGACACACTCCTTCCACATTATTTATTCTTGCCTTAGCGTAAGACCTGTAAAACCAGTGCTATGGAAGGGAAACACACACAGGTTACCTTTTCACCACACAATCAGCAATGCAATGGAAGTCCTGGACTCTTGATCGAAACATCAGGCCTCCTTTTGGCTTGATAAACAAGGGAGTTTGCCATGGCCCTGTCCCATTCATGAAAGGGATTTAACATCTCAGCCAACCAGATGTCAAGTACCGAGTTTATCATGCAAACCTGACGAAGAGATCGAGCTCCCTCATGAAGCCCAGAGGGGAAACCACACTGGGGACAGAACCACAGCAGGCAGCTGTCTTCACAGCCTGTTTGTCCAAAAGATCAATGCAGGGGAATACAAATGGTTTTGATGACACTTCTGGACACAGAGCTGAAAAGCAGGACAAACCTATTCTAAGAGAAAAGTGTTTATTAACCTGCATAGCAGTCTGGTTAACCCCTACTATCCTTTGTTATATACAGTCAGCACCTAAATGGTGCTGATGGTTAACACAGCATTACCAGTATCTCCTGGGCTATGGTAGAACTTCGATGCTGAACTTCAAGATAACAGAAACACCTTGGATCCTAGCATCTATCACATCACATGTCTTCATATTCCCAAAGGTAAGACCTAGACTGGATATCCTCTGGTTCTGTACATCCAATTTGGAGATATAATGCCTTACCCTTCATAATGCTGAGGCCATCGATCTCTCCACGTTACTGAGAAAATTTGTACTTCCTTGTTAACCCTGTTTTTCTTTATGGTGCTGTGTAAGTACTTCTCTGAAGTACTTAAGAAGCCCAAGTTAAAGCAGCAGGACAGCCAATAGAGCCTGGAATCTGCTAGTTCAGAAACTCAGCTTTATTAAGACTCTGCCACAGTTTTGTTAAGCGCAGTCTTTAACACTGGTACAATCAAAACACTGAATTAAAGTTAGTACCTTGACACTGGACAAGTTTTGCAAACAGTTTCAATGCTTCCTTTTGCGATACAACTCCAGGACAGTGTTGAAATCCTTTGGAGATGCATTGTTCACTGCCTCCTAGCACCAGGTTCTGAAATTTTACATGGAGTAGTGGATTTGTCACCAAACATTTTACACGTCCATCAGAAGTGTCCTCAAAAGCATCTCTGAGGATCTTTATATTAGACCTGCACTCAGAACAGTCCCCAGCAGGCTCCAGACCTCAGTACTGGATATGGTTGCATTCTCCTGAGGTCTGACTGGAAGGAAGTGCGTCCGTTCCCCACCCCTCACCATCTGGAAGCAAGCATCTCTGCAAATGGGTGTCCAGCAAGCAGCTTAGCAACAGCCTCGCCAAGATGTGGAACCCATCACAAGATCCAGGTATTTCATGTTGAAGTGTGCTGTACCGAATATAAAACAGAGTTCAACTGCCTATTCCATGTAGACGGATCAAAAGCTTATAGTAACCTTACAGGTGAGGTAGTAACAAAATTGAAGGCAAGAGAGCTTAAAGACTTTTCAATTTGCAAATGAACAGATCAGATGTTCACTAAATCCTGTAGCACTGCCATTCCAACCTTTGTGGTCTTGGCTGACCATGTAAAGAAGTGCAAGGTTCATGCATAGGCAGAAAACATGAAGCAACTTCAAAAAAATTCACCTGAGGCAAGCACGTACTGTCAAAGCATCCACAAACACACAAGAACAAAGCATTTATTTTTGCTCTGGGATCCCATTCCAGCTTTCAGGGCTGTTTTGTACATTGCATATGAAGTAGTCATCACATGAAAACAGAAGTCCTACTAAGAGCAAGGACCACAGACCTAGACAAGCCTATGTTAACTGGATCAACTTTTGTCTTAGCTACAGAACTGTATTTGCTTCTGCGTCCTTAGGCTCCATGAATCTTGTATTTACAGTATCCATAGTTCAGAAAAGCATGGCTTGAAAGAATCCACCTTCAGTCTTGTATTGAGTCTGATAGTTAAGGCACTTCTGTAGGAAGCGGGAGATGAAGATTTGAATCTCTTCATGGCAAGAAGGAAACTGAATCCAGGTCTCTTTCCAGCAATTAATCTAACCATTGAGCTATTTCAGAAGCAGGCATCCTCACAAACTATGGCCTCAATGCAGCTGGCATGCACTGGCACACACCGTGGTCAACTGATCACATAACCCAGTGAGAGGCATGCAAGCTACCATATCTTCCCTCTCTCTCTCAGATAATTGAACATGTGCAGTTATACCTAAGATTGCAAACTACAAGCAGTTTCAGAATGGAGCCCAGGTGTGGTTTCACAACTGTGAACTGTCCTAACTCTCACACCAGCACCAACAGGGACAGTTCCCCTCCTGCACGTTCATACCTCCTGCTCCATACCAAAGAGTTAAACTGATGAAAAGCATCATTTTCTGGCAAGGTTGGTTTTCTGCCAGCTTCACTCCATGAACTGGCTTATCACGTTGGCTGCAAACCTCCAGGGCTAGCACAAGAGGCTGCAGAAGCACACAGCCTAGGTGGGATGGGAAAGGAAACTGGATCACCCCTTTCAACAGCAGCCCACAGACAGATCAGCTCAGCTGCGTCACAAGCCTGAAGCACATTCATCCTCTTCTGACTACCCCACCACTGCATTTCCAGGTCCCAGAGGAATTTAAGCTGAAGCTAGAAGTTTGCTCGTGCATAGGGCAAATTCAGGTGCACACAGAGAAAGCAAAAGGAAACCTCAGTGTCAACTTGTTCAGAGTTCTCCTGCTTAACGCAGATCCAAAGCTGCTGTTGCTCAGCAGGATTTCCAGACCAACTTTTGATTCATGCCCCCTGGGTACTACACACGGAGGAGAACACAGCACAGCATTTCAGACAGACGGGCACTTTTTAAAGCTTTTAATCTCTGATTCACATCTCTTAACTGATATTTTAAACTACATTTCTTAAGTGTCACACGCCCATAAAACTTCCAATGAGGTGAATTACAGTACTAAAGAATATATCCTCACACTAAATATCACTTCATGCTACATCTTTAACCATTTGCCACTGCCTGTCAAGATTAAAGACCAGGTTTTAGACTACTAAGGCTGTATTAAAGACTCTTTTCTCAACAGAGATTTCCAAAAATGCTCAAATGAAAAAAGTGTTCACTTACGTGCAGAGAATTGATTGGTCCTCACGGTCTGCAAAACAAGAACAAACACGGTTATAGCTTGGTTTTATTTTGTTTCTATTGTCTTGTAATTTGCAAGGCAGTTTCTTTTAAATCTGTACTTTAAAAATTTGGCTTTTCAGCTTAACAGTTCTAAGGACACTTTCAAGCAATTTTAATAATATCCCTTAAATGTTCCAGTTCACCACCACCCTCTCCCCAATCAAACACCAGCTTAGACATTCCTAACAGCTCTGGAATTTCATATAATAAAGCCAAAATTCTAGTTAAATTTAATATAATTCACAGCAATCTTTTTAACCGTATTTTCAGACAAAGCTGGCCCCGCATCTTTGATTCTGCTTGCAGTGCTTCCCAGATTAATCACATTATTTAAAGTCTCAAGCAAGGAGAAACCCCACAGTTTCAAGTACACAATACTAGTGACCAGATACTTGGAAACAGCACTAACGTCTCCAGTAAGCACTTTGGTCTACAGCTTTTTTAATTTTTCCTTTTTAGATGAACATGCAAGCCTGAAATGCTTTCATTTTTCAGCTTATTCATTAAAGACTTGTCAAAAGGACGTTCAGGGCAATGCTGAACAGAGCTGAACTCTGCAATATGGTGTGGCTCAGCACTTTTGTGACACCCACTGTCGCGCTCATGACCTTTGAAAAGAATGCCTGAAGGTCAGCTATACCCTACAAGAGGTATTTCATAACTACAGGATCTTTACAGAATATATTTCAACATCATGCACTCTATATTAAAAATTGTATCATCAAAACATTCAAATATACCTGCGAAAAAGTAAAATGTTTCAGTTAAAGGTGTTCACCACCCCGTTTGAGCCAGAGTTTTCAATGAGTTCAACATTTTTCATAAATGTGCATCACAGAGATCTTGCTTTTACACTTGAGCTGTTTGTCACGGGCTCCAGAAGATCACAATTGCCTCCTGCAAGCTCAGGACTCCAAAGAGATTTTCTGTTCTGATCAGCAATTTGTAATGGTTTACATTACAATAAATAAAAATCAAGCTCTTTTTTCGTTCAAGTGTAAAGTTCAGGGCTACACATTAGACTCCCCAACACGCTCTGCATACGTCTCCCTTCTCCTTGAAAACCAGACTCTGTAACGTGGTGACCACAGCACTAGCAGGATGACCAGACAGCTTCACTTGCTACAAGGCAGCTTCCCCACATACTCAACAGGTTTGAAACAAATCTATGTCCATATGTACAACCTCAATACATTCATGACCATTTCTGGAAAGCAGAGTAACCTAAACATCATGTCACATTGTTTCTAAATGGGTACAGAAAAACTGTTATTAAACTGAGTTGCAAATTACTGCTGAGTTTTGCAGACTGTGTGAAACTGCTCATCCTCCCAGTGCAACAAGCCAAGTCCATAGTGCTGTTGTGTAACAGTATTGAAGCAGGATTTCAACCTTAGCTAGGTAGCATGAAAAAAATGTAAAATTAAAATCCCCCAGTGAGCTGTGTTTGCCCCCATCATGCTGCCTGATGAACAGCTCAGGTACAGAGACAGCTCATGTTCAGCTACACCAGCTGAACAGCCAGGCTTCCCGCACAGCAGTAGAAATCCCAGTTCCAGCACAGGCAGGGCTGCAGATCAGGGCAGGGACAGGCGCCTGCATTCAGATCAGCTCAGGCTGACAGGGAGCCCAGCAATGAGGGTACACAGCCAAAAAAGGGGCAGTTGTGTCCTGTGCCCTTCTCCAGCCGTACACCAGCACTCAAGTGAAAACACTTGAGCATCGTGTACGAAAATTTGTACTGGTGCAAGGGAGACCCAAGATCCCTTTTCTACATAGCAGTTCCAATTTACCTTGGATGAAAAGGTTATGTTCATACAGACACAGCGCATCTAAAAAAGCAAACCAGCTAAAAAGGCCTTGTCTCAGCAAAATACTTTTATTTTATGGAAGTTTGGAGCATGTGCCTTCAAAGCAGGCAGCTGCTACCGCGCATCTCCACAGCTGGCTAAACCAGAGGCTTGTGGACTGCACCACTGGCAAGATTTATCCTACATTTTAACATCAAGTATGATGGAAAAGATGAGGTGCTTTCCGACCGAAAAACGCTTGAAACACGTACACAGTTGTACTTTGAGCCCCTTGTTCAAAAAAGGCAAGAAATACCAGTGATCCTCTTAACCACTGCACAGACAAACTGTACTGGGCTTCCCCAGGAGCACAAGTCAAATGCTGCACCCCTGGGACTACCTGTGCCTTGCAAGTAGATGTTAGGTCCAAAAATCTTACCTACAAGGTAACAACCAGAGCAGAGTGATTGCAGTAGCACAGCTGAAGAGTATTAGTTTAGATTAATAAAAGTGGAAAATAAAATAAGATTTTAAAAGCTGGAGATACCCCTTAGGCTGGAGGGATGGTACTGGATCATTTCTTACATTTGCACGGTGTACAGCAACTCCTGTGCAGACACCAAAAAAGGGAGGTGGAAGCCTGTGACTGCATGAAATAAAAGCTGAGAGTAGGCAAAAGCAATGGGAGTCTGACAACAGAAACGTTAACAGAACACTACAAAAGTTCACGTTCTTCTGGTTTTGATATACCACAGCTGGGCTTGCAAGTCCTACGACTTCTTGGTACCAAGCAGCAGACAAACCCCAGCACTCCAGCCGCTGGACAAACCATAAGCCCAGTTGTCAGCAGAAACTAGAAAAACATGCAACTTTCTGACTCTGACCCGTTTCCAGGGGTAGCTCACAGCGACTCAAGCACTTCACAAGTAACGCTGTATGCCAGAAGACCAAGGTGATACAGGACAGTACAAATCATTTGTTCTCTTAGAAGAAATTACCAAATGAATGCCAAGTTAGTATCACGAGTAGAGTGAAAAGTATTTCCTACCTTTAATGTTTCTTGAGGCATTTTCTAAAGTGACAACTTGGTTTTTCCCTTTCTCACTTCCCGAGAATAACTCCTCTCTGTAATTTTGTCCCTGTAGCTAGGCCACTTTGTCAAAAAAATAGTCTCCTCTAAACCATAGCTCTTCAGTTTATCACTTCTTAAAACCCAAAGAACACAGGTAACACTCACCTTGAAATTTAAAGTGGCTTATTTGAAGGCAATGTGCATCTGTCAGTGCTCTGTGTCATTATATATGTCACCTGTCAATTTACCATGCAAAGCCAGTGTTCCACAACATGCAAGACCCACAGTATAAGTGAATTTTCTTACCCAATTAGTTCTAGAGGAAGTCTGCAAGTCCAGACAGTTGTATGTATTTTTGTCATTGCCAGAAGCTCCAGCAAGTGCAGCAGAGCTTTTTTTTTTTATGGTCTATGTCCAGAAGCTTGAATTGACACAGACCTTATAACACAAGTTATCTGGTACTCAAGTGTGTTACTCCAAATCCATTCTTCTGTGTCCATCTGGATTCTGAACCTCACAAACTATGGAAGTGGAAGCAAGACAACAGCAAGTGTCACGTTTTGCCTTCTGATCACTTCCACTAACGGTCAGTTCCAGCACCGAGCACTCAACTAACAAAAACCAAATTACAGCTTGAAGGCTTAGGATGCTGCTTTATGCATTGTCAAATACCAGATGCCTTTGTCCCATGAAAAAAACCTGATCTCTCCGGACTCATTCTGAAAAAGATCCTGACAGAATGGCTACCATGGAAGAGTTATTTATGGCTGGTTTGTTTTGATTTTCTCTCCTCCAAATAACACAATTTACCTGTAGTCTTGATTTCAAGGCAGCTGGTCCCCATCCTAAAGGCTCCCTAGAGCAGTGACTGCACATCCACACACTCGCCTTCTGAAAGAACCGAGTCCTCATCTGCCACTTTGCCAGATTTGTTATCTAGGGCAGGCAAGAATCACTGAACTTCTCATCTTTAGACATATATCTCAATAACACTTCCAAAAAACTGTGATTCTCTGTGACCCAGCTTCCATCTGAAGCGTCAGGCAGCCCACAAGACAGATTTTTTTTTTAATTATTTATTTTAATGACAGAGAGAATATGTTTAGGTCTTAAAAATAATCTGCCTTTGCCATTTGCAAGAATTTTAAAAGCAATTTTTATTAAAGCCAGAGTTTGATGTGGTTGTTCATGGAAACCTAAAAATATTTGGAAAACGCTTAAGTTTCTACATAAATCTTGCGATTCTTAATAACAGACCAAAAAAAACCTCTGTAGCAAAGTCTTCATGAGATAACATCACTAATATCAGCCAGATTTGCAGGAATACCTAAGACTAGACAAATTCAACAATCCCTTGGGATTTATAAGCAAACTGGAGCAGCAAGGAGCAGCACAAGCTCACCACAATGTTCATCTCCAAGTTCCAGAGCAATTGAAATAGGAAATACAAATCAATCACTCTCATTAATAGCATTAGCAAAATTGACATTAGGTGTCTCTGTTATGCTACACAAAGGGTGAGAAAGTGTATTGGACTGAAATAGTTTGTCACATTTTGAGCACAAAAGTAGACAATATAGGGGTGCAAAAGCACCTATGAAACTACTCGGATAATACAACTTTTGCTATCAGCATACATATCTTTCGAGTTACTCCCATATAATCCAAAGCAGTTCCATTATAAGGCTGAGCCAAACTAAGAACTCCAGTTTCCCAGGGAAAGGTGTCCTCTCTGAGCAACTCTGGCACTTGTCTGATCATAGGTTAAAGCAACTCAGCTCATTCATCAAAGATACTTACATTCATCTGCTTCAGTTAAACTGACTTGCTGAGTATGAGGATGGATGAGTACACTGCAGGAGGGGATGAAAAAAGAGGGCCAAGCTCTTAATTCAAGCTACATCGTAAGACCAGCCTTTTGGTATTAAACCTGCACAGAAGTCCCACTGGAATCGATCACTTTAGATAGACACAGCTTGGATTTAAAAATATCCCAGGGTCTTCAAACTGCACTGAAGACCATAGCATTCAAGTCGCACAGAGGAGGCTCACTGCAATATTCCTGATTTGAAAAATAAAGTTGCAAAATTATGCAAAGTCTGAGTA